TCTGTAGCAGTCCCCGGATAATCCTCCCTTTGCTGTCCCTTAGTCCACCACCCTCCTCTCCTGCACTTCCCCTCGCCGTCCTAGCCCTCCACTTCATTGCCGCTGCTATCCTAGGCTCTTCCGCTTCGTTGCCAATGTAATTCCAACCTTTCCTTTTGCTGGCCCAGCAACCTGCAACCCATTTCAACCTCCTAGCACCACTCTTCGACCACCTAGTCGATCTCCAGCATCCCACCGATCAATCCCTAGTGTGCGTTTGTGTCATGCTTGTTTGTAACCGCCTATTTGCTTTTAACAATAATATTTGCTTTTCATATTGTTGTTTGGATTAACTCCATTATCGCTATTGCTCGTCTCTTATCAGCTCAATTAAGGGTTTACATACGGTTGTTATTCTTAAGCTAGTGGATAAGGCACATGGGATCAAACCAACTTGTATAAACTTGATTACAAGACATTTCGCCCCAAAATGAAACAAGTTATATCCTGTAAGCATTAAACATTTTGAATCATGGAACGCTAAACATAAGACCATAATTCAAATTAATGATATTTTAAATTTATGAGAAATTTACATACATACCATTCAATTCTTATGTATTTACATATCTAACACCTATGCTTTTGTATTTACATGTATAGCACTTTAATATCATAAAGCTATGCATGAGATTATGCATTCAACTTTTAAAAATTAAGTAAGAAAGGTATTTTTGATCAGTCGTTAAAGATTTGAGTGCTATGCATATAAATATGTAAGTTTCGGTGTTATATATTTAAATACATAAGTATGTGGTGGTGTGTAAATGCCCCAGAAATTATTTATGCTAACCGATTAAATCTTGTTTGTCATGAAGCTAATTGAATTTTCAGTTTTAGATTAAATCATTATTAAACAAGGATCTTTGTCTAAAGCATGAAGCAAATAATTTTTTTTTATCTTGTTTTAACATAACAAAAATTGTACATTCATAAAATTGATATAACATAAGAAGTGATAGGTTAGCTAAGTATAGGAATGTACTTTCTCTGTTCTGTTTGTCCCTTTACCAATTTTAAATTTTGGTCATAATTGACTAATTCGGAAGGTAAAGCTTTTTCTTTGTTGTTCGGTTTTTTTATCAATTTCTTGTTTGGAATTGCAGGTATGGGGGTAATCTTGGAAATAAGCGTAATGAACTTTTTGACGCGCATGAGGCTGGGCCTGGGCCTGGTGAAGAGGGCGTATTCTTAGCTTCATGTAAGATTTGCTGCTCATTTTTAATGTTTAATTATTGATGTGTATTTCTATATAGCCATTTACTACGAAGATGGTGAGAGGTGGATTCTAAAATTCTTAACCCACCAATATTTCATGATTTAGCACAGATGTATTCTCATCCTAAAACCTTCTTCTTCTTCAGTCATGGTTCTGAATAAGTCTTGTTTGAAAGAAATTTTTTTTTTTGAAAAGAGTTTATTTCAGGCAATACAAGTTACTTCATATGTTTTAATAGGTTAGAGAAATCTTGATCAATTTAGCCGAAGAACATTGCGGGACATTAGTGTGATGGTTTATATTGTACACCGAGTGATGTGTGACAATTCAAGGTCTTGGGTTTCTTTACAGGGAGACTAATGCTTGAAATGTGTGCAATATGACAAAGGAACTATGTGATGCTCTTGAAACTATTATTGAAGATGCAATCAACCTGTGAAGAGGTGATGCATCATAAATATGTTAACATTTGTTTTGAACTAAATTAAATACATTTTATTATTTAAATTGGTAAATAAAACATTTCATTTTTACCGTTGTATTAGTAAAAAAGAAGTTGAGCTGGCTTTAAAGAAAACAAAGGGTGGAAAGTCTGTGAGGTAAAAAATCAGTAGGACTTGACGATATCTCAATTGAAGTGTGGAAATATTTAGGAGATTTGAGAGTTTCTTGGTTTACTACACTCTTTAATATTATTTTAAAAACTAAAAAGATGCCTAGGAGTGGAGGAAGAGTATTTTGGTCCCCATTTTTAAGAATAAAGGGGATGCACAAGAGTGTGCAAATTATAGAGGAATTAAGTTGATGTGTCATACTTTAAAATTATGGGAGAGGGTAATTGAACATAGGTTAAGACGTATTACAAAGATTTCTCATAATCAATTTGATTTGTGTCGGACAGGTCTACTATGGAAGTTATACATTTGTTGAGACGTTTGACGGAGAAGTTCAGAGATAATAAAGAGGATCTACAATTTATGTTTATTGATTTAGAAAGTGCTTACGATAAGGTTCCAAGCGATATCCTTTGGAGAGTTCTTGAGAAGAAAGGTGTTCATATAACTTATATTCAAGTCATTAAAGATATGTATACTAGAGCTGTTACTTGTGTTCGAATTGTAGGAGGATTGACCAAATATTTTCCCTATTTTTGTTGGATTACATCAGGGATCGACTTTAAGCCCATATCTTTTTGCTTTAGTTATGGATTGTCTTACTGAACATTTACAGAAGAATGTATCTTGGTGTATGCTTTTTGCTGATGATATCCTTCTTGTGGATAAGACGAGAAAAAAAAGATCCAGAAAAAACTTGAATTGTGGAGGTCTACATTGGAGTCTAAAGGCCTTCATTTGAGTAAAACTAAGACTGAATATATGGAATGTAGTTTTAGTAGTAGTAGCTCTAGTGCAGAAGTGTAACTTTGATTGATCAAATTATTAAAAGTTGTGAACGATTTAGATATCTCGGGTCTGTTGTTCAAAGCGATGGTGATATAGGTGGGGATGTTAATAGTAAAATTTAATTTAGTTGGTTGAAGTGGAGGAATGCTTTGGGCCTTTTGTATGATAGAAAAGTACCACTTAGACTGAAAGAAAAATTTTATATGATTGTGGTGAGACTTGAAATGCTCTATGGCGCTGAATGTTGACCTTTAAAAGAGAGACATAATACTAAGTTAAGTGTTGCCGAGATGAGAATGATTAGGTGGATGAGTGACTTTACACTTAGAGATAAAATGCAAAATGAATATATCCGTGATAGGTTTGGTGTAGTACCAGTGACAACAGACAAAATTAGAGAAAGTCATCTTAGATGGTTTGGTCACATTAAACGTCGACCATCCGATGATCCGATTTGAAGAGTAGATGTTTTAGATTCGACTTATGTTAAGAAAGGCACATGTAGGCCTAGGAAGACTTAGGCTTATTGTATAAAAATGATCTTAATTTATTAGAACTAAATGAAAACATGACACTAAATAGGACGCAATGGAGAAATAGGTTTCATGTAGCCAACCCCACATAGTGGGATTAAGGCTTTGTTGTTGTTGTTGTTATTTAAATTTTCACCCATTTAAAATTTCACCAAATCTTGGGAAGATTCGATAATATATGTTCCAATAGAAATCAACGATAAAGAATTCAACTACAAAGAATTAAAACACATTCAAATCATGCACTAATATATAAATATATTGGTATATTGATTAAAATTGATCTCTTCCAAAAAAAAAAATACTGATAGTAGGCAAAGAAAATACGACATTCAAAACTGTTTTTGAAAAAGATTCCTTACTTTCCAAGGAATTTCATCAGATGATCAAAAGATGGGTACATTTTCCGATCTTGAAATTTATAGAAGTGTTTGTAAATTTTTGAAAAGAAATTTATAAAAATCTTTGTTAAGTGCTGAAATTTCGATATTCCTCCTACATTGATGTTAAATTTACTAATGATGCTCTTTTTACTAGACTAATTGCAGGTAGGGTTGTAGTCGAAAAATGAGCCTAGTAAGAGCTTTCTCTAGCTAGAGCTTCTTTGCCTTTATTTTATTTGGGATAAGCTTCATATGTGATATTGTATAAGCTTAGTTTACTTAAAATCATTGTTGTTTGGGATTGACTGAGTTTGATTTTAATTTGTGATTTTTGAGCTATTATAGAGTAGCTTGTTTGACCAAATACATAGCTTTATTGAGTCAATTAATGGGTTGTATGATTGAGCAGCTTGTTAGATAATCAAATTATTTTATCGAGGCGACTATAGTAGCTTGCTAATTATGTAAATGAGCCTATTAATGAATGACACCATTGAGCAAGTTGATAGCTAGACATATAAGCCTATTAAAGAGTAACCCATTGAGCTTAGAAAATAGTCTTTAATTGAACAAGTTATTGAATAAACAAGCATTTCAACAAGTATAAACTAGTAGCTTATATTCATAACAATGGCAATTTGGGAGTACAACATGAGAGCTTTTTTTGTGCAGTCTACTTGGCCTAGTGATTGGATACTATCTCCTTTCAGAAGGTTTTGTGCTCAATTATTTAAAGATCGTGAAATAAATTCTGTGTGCGGCAATTATTTAAATAAAAAAAAAAGAGCACAACTTGCGAATTTATCTATTTAAGGATAAATCATTAAATATTAACAACCATCAAACATTGTTGACCTCATTTTTAGTGAGGTATAATCTTTCTCTTAGGATTTAGGATCTAGCCTTAGGGACCTCCCTTCGACTATGTTAGAACCTTAGAAATGGGACCCGCCTTGTTCTAGAAATTCAACCCGCTTCCGTCCCCTTCTGGAGTTTCGCGTGTGTG